GTACTTCACTGTCCTGAGCTCCAGTTTTCTCATCTATGCATGGATGTATCGCTTTTACAGGAGTGCACCCAGCTTATTTTCCAAAAATCAGATATGCCCATCAGACCGTCCTAGCCCCCAGTGCTATCAGCAGCATCGTCCATCTCATCATCATCATGGTTTCATGCTTGTTAGACCCTTTCTGTGCAGGTGAATGGTGAGACTCAAATACCTCTTTCCTGGGTGAAACAATGTGGAGAAAGTCCAGTCAATTTGAAATGAGGACCTTAGTTCAAGTTCTCTGAGTAGGTGACAGAGATCTCAGACAGTGTGTTTAAATCCAACTTCACGGGATTGTTGTGAGAGTTAAGCAAGGAGAAGTCTATGAAAATACTTTGTAAGCTTATAAAGCTTGATTAAAACATTAGGCAGAATGGTAAAATGTTATGTCATTGTCTTGGAAAGAAGTAAACTAAAATTCCCTCACCCTTAGTTCACAGGAGTCGTCCTTTGCTAAAGTGTCTGCAGGATCCAGAAAGGCTCCCATTTGGAGGCTCCCTTTGCTCCTTTCTCTGGTTTTTGGCCTCCGGGACCATAATGTCCCTTTGTAATTGGCTGGCATTAATGATGGGCCCATTCTGGCATGATCCCCGCATCAGCGGCAGAATGTTGACCTGTCTACTGAGCCCTGGAACCCACAGCTGCCAAGTAGAGCCAGATGGAACTAATTTGCTGGGCTGACTCACAGCATCTGGCTGGGCCTAGTTGGGCCTATCTTTTCCATCAAAAACATCTCCCCAAACCTCAGTGCTCTCCATTTTGTAAGTTCCTAGGTGTGAGTGGGTGGTTAGGCACAGTTAGGCTTCTGAGGAGCACCCTTTTCCAGAAGGAAAGTTATGTATGATAATGCACTCGATAACAGCGGTGAATTCTGCCAAACTGCCTATCATTAGGGTTACATTGTTTGGTAACATGATAATTACTATATAATCCGAAGTAGAGGGAGTTCGTGGAAGTCTAGCAGTGCTGGAGAGTTTATTATTGCTTATCCAGGGGATGTTCACGAAAACATTCATTAGTGCTGCTCAGGAGAAAGAAAACAGGGTGTCAGCAGAGTAGGCCAACCTGGACAACCTCCATGGGAAAGCCCAGGCCGTCACCGAGAGAGAGGCTGGCCGCTGGGAGAGTGGGATTCACCAGCCTCAGCGAGCCGGCACGGCGGGCCAGGGTTGGCTTTGTGATTCACAACAGAATTGTGGCTTGGAAGCGCCGGGACCGTGAGCTTAACTCTTACATGTACATTTTATATTTCAGGTTATTTCTCTTTTTCTTACCTTAATTTTGGTCTTGAAAAGAACTCTGTCAAATAGTTGCAAAATAACACCATCAGGCAACCAGTAAATTTGTCCTTGGGGAGCTACTTTGGGAGTCAGGCGCTGACTTTGGGTTATTGTAAAATCTGGAAATCTGTTCTAATCTTAGCCTTGCCCTTGTTCCATTCCTTGCTACTGAGGATGGTCTGTGGACCAGCAGCATTACCTGGGAGCTGGTTAGAAATGCAGAATCTCAGGCCCCATGTAGATCTGTGAACCAGAATCTGTATCTTTAAATTCCCAGGTAATTTCACATGCACATAAAAGGTTGAGAAGCACTGGCCTGTATTAAGCTCTGGGAAAACATGAGTTTTGCTTTTTTTTGTTCATTTTCTTATTTATTATTTTTTTTTATCCCCAGTGGCCAATCTAAAGTTTAGCCTATAGTATCTGGAAAATCCTTGAATCTTTCTCTGACCTTAGGCATGTCTGAACTTCTAGGAACTTCGTAAACTTCTAGGGCCTTAACTGGTGGTTAGGGAGAGAGATGGTGAGTGGAAAGAGAGGCAGCCTTCAGGGATGGAGAATCACAGCTGGCGCTGGTGGTTTTAATGGGTGATTTGGACTTACTGAGTCCTGTTCTACAACTACCTTAGTCTCTGAGGATAGGGCATAGAATTTGTATACCTTTTAAAAGCGCCCTTCAAGTTAAAGAGTGTTTATTACAATATATTGATAGCACATAATAAAAAAAAGCCCTTAAAATTGCCTCAAGAGAAAATGGATCAATACAGTAGAATACAATTCAGATGTTTAAATCAATGAAATAAAGCTACATGTATAAACATGAATAAGTCTAAATTTTTTTTTGTAAAAGAAGGTGGCAGCAGGATGTACGAGGTATGGTACCATTTATTGAAGGTTTTAAAGAATCATATTTAGAATGGAAACACGTACCTAAAGTAAAAGAATAAAGACCTGGATGGGAACGATAAATGCCAGATTCTGGCCAGTGGTTAACTTGGAGAGGGATGAAGGGAAGGGATGGGAGCCCCAACACACCTTCCTGTTTCCTTGCTTAACAAAAGGAAGACAGCAAAGGCTGCGGCAGCAACTGTGTGAAAGTACAATTTTAAATGACTACATACATAATCATTTAGATATTCATATGGATATCATGTATCTATACCTATACCTATAGCTATATCTTTATCAATAGATCTTTATCTGCAGTCTGGAAAGTATCTGGCCATGTAATATAAAAAATAGAGACATACATGGCCAGACACTTTCCAGACAGCTCATATATATATACATATGTGTGTGTGTGCATGTGTGTGTGTACACACATACATATCTGAGGTCTGACCATTGAGTTTGTGAACTAATCCTCGGAAAAGTGTTACATACCTCATTGCTGAATATCACTGTGGTCCCCTCCAAACTACTCCTCTTAGGAAGCTATGCACTGATGCCAGTGCCTCGTCTACCCTTGAAACCAATTTTGGAACTCTTTTACTGAAAAGGAACCCAGAGCTATCACTGTACGAGGTATAACAATTAAGTTTGCCACTGTGCACTTATGTTGGCAGTACTGTACAAACAGCTCAGTTACATTTCATAACCTTGGTATATCAGGGTCTCACAGCTGTGTTCTTGTTGACTTGTGGTGGTATCTTGCTGAGTGGTGTTTATTATTGTTCTTGTGTGTTTTTGTATGCTGTACAATGACAGCTCTGATGGCCATTCTAGAAAAAGTACCAAAATTGCTTTGAAGGGTGGGCTAGGTACTGGCATAGGTCCATAGCTTCCCAAGGGGAGTACTTCAAAGGTGACCATAGTGATAGTCAGTGATGAGGTATGTACGTTTTCCAGGATGAGTTCTCAAACTCATCAGATCTTGTGTGTGTAAGCGTGTGTATACTTTTTCTGAATGCTTAAACTATTTCATTATGAAAAGACTAACATAAAACTGTGTTACTGATGCAGGCATTTGGCATGTGGGGTTTATTATTTTAGTTACTCTTAAGGAGCTTCTAGTTCTAAATGTGTTTGAGCTCGAAGAACTTCCTCCCAAACACCGTCTCTTGTTCTCATAGACAAGCATGCTATCAGGATGGGTCTGAGGCCAGGAGCTTTCTGGCATTTTCTCCTGATGACATAGAACCATGTCCCGTGCTTGCCATATCAGCACATCCCCTGGTTCTGACTCTTGAGGTGCACAGCCTGTCGTCTGCTTCTCTCATAGCATCCAACTACCCTAATCTTAGAGCTTTAGCTCTAGAGGCACCTTTCCTTCTGCCTCCATTTTCATAAAGTCCAGTGGTAGCACTTAGATATCCATGTGAATATCAAGAATTTTCATTGCCCTGCCTTCAAACCTCACCGTTTGCAGTCTCTTACTGCTATACCTGCTTTGTTAACTTCCTTTCTATACTACAAGCATCCTCAAGTTTAAGCAATAAAATGATACCTGTTGGTCTATGTGACTCAAGTAAAGGAGCATTTAAGGAAGCAGAAGTGGTTCTAATAGCGGTACCAAAGTGGAGTTTTAAATTTCATTTTATTATTGTATCTAATAATAACAGTAATTCTAAACCAGGGGTGATTTTGCCCCCTTAGGGACATTTGGTAGTGTCTGGAGACATTTTTGTTTTCACAACTGGGAAGAGCTGTTGGTGTCCAGTGGGTGGAGACCCAGCATGCTGCTAATGTTCTATAATGTACAGAATCATTCCCTCACCCATCCACATCCTTTGCTTCACAAAGAATCATCCAGTCCAAAATATCAACGATGCCAAGGCTGAGAAACCGTTCCATGCAGATCTTCAGACCTGGAATATACTCCTATTAGTAGGGAAGGTATTGTAGACGGGGCTGCAGTTCCTTCAGAGAGGGAAAGTGTAACAGGAGATGTAGGAATCCCAGGGAATGTTTCTGCACCATGGCCATAGTGTGGTGGGGGCTGGAAAGGTCATGGTGTTAGAGATTAAGAAAAACCTGGAGAGGAAAAAAGCCCAGGCAGTGGGGAGAATAGAGAGGTTACCTCTACTGCCTTTGAACTTGGCACCCTCCTATTATAGAAGTGCAGTGTAGCCTACTTAAAATATTGCCAATGTAAAACATGTAGGTCATCTTAGTAACGACCCCCAGCAAATCATGCCATCTCCCATCCACACTCATTGGCAAGGTGATTCTGCCATTGCTCTCACTGAGAGATGGAGTCTGTTGTTTCAGGCATGAATCTGGACTGGCTTTGTCACTTGCCTTGCCCAAAAGAATGTGAAGGGAATAATGTTGTATTATTTCTGAGGCCATTCAGCTTTGGTTTTCTCCCTCATGGACCATTTCTGCTAACATGTGAGGAAGCTGGCCTGATTGAGCCTCCCCTGAGAGAGAGGCCCAGATTTAGGGAGCCCAGCTCTGCCCCAGCCAATCTTCCCATGCAATGCGGCTGTGTCAGGGAGCCCATGTGAAATCAGCTCACCAACTCACCAACCCACTGAAGCGGAAGAAATAATAGATGTGGTTATTTTAAGGCACTGAATGTAGGGGGCGGCTTCCTATACTGTCTAGATAACTGGATAGTGCACATTAAGAGACTTCATATAAAGCAGTGGATAGTGTATTTGCCTTGGGTATTGATATGTGTGTAAATATCAGATCATGCAAAGAGAAACTGAGTTCTCTCCCATTTGTTTCTTGCAGCACTTCTCAGAACTTCTGGATGAGTTCTCCCAGAATGTCTTGGGTCAGCTCCTGAATGACCCTTTCCTCTCTGAGAAGAGTGTGTCGATGGAGGTGGAGCCATCTCCCACATCCCCAGCGCCTCTCATCCAGGCTGAGCACAGCTACTCCCTGTGCGAGGAACCTCGGGCCCAGTCACCATTGACCCATGTGCCCACCAGTGACAGCTTCAATGACGGTAAACTCAGAGTGGGGAAACACCTCGGATCTTGTTACCTTTGACCCTGAGCTCCTTCAGAGTGTAGAGTATGTTATCATTAGCACCCACTTTAGCCAAATACCAACAGTGTGTAAGGTTTTGTGCTTGGGCAGTGGGGCAATGCAAAGAGGTACAGGGTACATTTGTGTGCACCAGACTGCTCCTGGGACCTTATTCTAACTGAGACATGGTGGCTACTTTCTTTGACCCTGTGGCTTGGGCAGCAAAACAGCCTTTTGCAAATCAATCTGGTCTATCTGACTGATAAGTCCCACTGTCCAGTATGTTCATTGTTTTAAGAGGTCATGTCATTTTTTCTGAGAAAAATTTTTATGATCACTCTTCTCTGTAGAAGCTTCAGGGGAATTCGCTTAACCCACTTCCAGCATATTCCATTGATCCTTGATTCTGAGACCTTTGTGAGCACACCTAGACTTTGTTGTTGGTTATTCTTTCACACCCATTGTCAATGTCACAAGTATGGCATTGATAGAGGTCTAGTTTTTCTTGCTTTAGAGATGTTACCGGCAGTCCCCAGTTACAGATGACCCAACTTCCTTACCAGCTGGTAAGTACAATCCTTCAGTACTTACCAGTGGGCTCCCAAGACTCCCTATAAGCACAATTTATAGTTAAATAATTAAATTAATAATTTGGGAACTAATTCCTTCTGCACATGTAAACAAACTCTCATGGCATACATGGTTTGTTGGCACGGCATCTTTACACTAGCAGTGAGTTTCATTGTTTATATGGTGGCTCACACACAGCATCACTTTTGTCTAACTTTTTGATCCAATTGTGTGAATCTGGGTGGAGGTCCACTGGAGGTCCAGGTGAGCCTGCAGCAAGGAGAAAGGTGATTACAGTGGAAACAAAAGTAGAAATACTTCAGTGTTTGGAGACAGACCAGATGCCATCATTCACTGGGACAGCATTGACTCTCGAAACAAATTAGAAAAGATAAGGTGAGAACAGTGGAATATGTGAAAGGCAATGGAAGTCCAATGGCTCCAATGGAAAGTCCAATGAAGCATCAATTATTGCTAAGTGGCATAGCGAATTGATTATTGAGATGGAAAGGTTATTTTGGATTGGGTTAGAAGATCAAAATAAGTATAGCATTAATATTAGGGTAGAATTTTATAATCTCTGTCTCTTATCTAAACCTTTTACATGCGTTTACTTTTGTGTTCTATTTCTTTGCATTAAAAGGACCCAATAATTTCTGTAAGATTATTACAGTACAGGGGTAGTATTATTATTACAATATTACACTATATTATTATTGCCACATCTGAGCCATTCTAGTATTATTATTACTGTTATTACCATATATGCACTGTTCATCAGTGATCTGAGTTGCGTACAAATCCATCCTAAAGATATTCTCAGTAATACGTCATGTCCCTAATTCAGAGACAGTCTGTACCCTATAGATGTTGAATTGGTAAAAGCTATATTTTCCAAATTCTCCAAGGCATATATATTTCTTAAACTGTATTTCTATGTTTTGTTTTCCTACGGGGATGACTGGATAATTTAGTATTGTGTGTATATTTTCTATTCCCAGTTCAGCACGTGCCTCTTCTTTATGAGGGAATAGTCGCTAACTTGACCGCTCTGCTTTTGCCCCAAGTGTTCCCCTCTCTCTCCTTACACCTCTGTGCACGTGGCAGCATCTTTTGATGGGGCTCTCTAAAGAACCGATTTCTTCACTCTCCCTCCGGTGAAAGGCAAGTGCTTTTATCTACTTGAACAAGGCACTGACTTTGTCCCACAAAAGCTTCCTTCCTGGAAGCTTCTTAGATCTTCTATTGTCCATGGAAGAACCAACTCTGGGACCATTGTAACATCTTATCTTGGGAGAGATAATGTTGTCAGTTCTTAAATTTTCCATCTCAGATATATTCTTCCCTTGAATAGAATTACACTAATCAGCAGCCTTCATATCCTCAGTGAAGGGAATGCCCCAAATCTGTTAGTGGATTCTCTCTTGGCTGGACCTTCCTGGAGCCTTACCCATAAGCTCACATTCTTTTCCTGAGGAGTGTTTAAGTGCAAGATGCCTCAGTCCTTCTCTGTAGCTTGTCAGTTTTCCCTACCTCAGGGGAATGGGGTGAGGGAAGCCTTCTGTGGGGAGGGGGAGTGGTGGAAGAAATAGAACTAAAATAATTTGGGGATACAGATTGTTGTGAGGGCAAAGTGAGATGTGTTTAAAGAACTTAGGAGAGTGTGTACCACATAGCATTTCATCAAATCAGTTCTGTCCCCTGTCTCTTTTGTGTTGCTGTTGCCTTCCTCTCCTTCTCCTCTTCTACCTCTTCTTCCTTGTCTTCCCTGCCTCTCCTCCTCCTCCTCCTCTTCCTTCTATCTCCTCCCATGCTCCCTCCCACCTCTCTCTCAATGTCTTATTTAAATTGATTTCAGGAATGGCCTCAGATTAGATGCGGAGGTGTGGTCTCTGTTATGACTAAATATTCCTCATTTGTGTCACCACGTAGAGAAGTCAACCTCCTTTTGAGTTTCAGCTTAGGAAGATGCATGCAATTCCTGTCTTGGTTTTACTGTGTTAAGAGTAGACTTCAGCATTAAATGAGTGATTGAACTAAATGACTGTTAGGATTTCTTCCAGTCCTAGCCAGGTGCAGTGGTTCATGCCTGTAATCCTAGCACTCTGAGAGGCTGAGGCAGGAGAATCACTTCAGCTCAGGAGTTCAAGACCAGCCTGAGTAAGAGAGAGATGCCATCTCTATGAAAAATAGAAAAATTAGCCAGGTGTGGTGGCAGGTACCTGTAGTCCCAGCTACTCAGGAGAGTGAGGCAGTAGGAGAGTTTCAGGGTAGGAGTTTGAGGTTGCTGTGAGCTGGGCTGATGTCATGGCACTCTAGCCTGGGTGAAAGAGTAAGACTTTGTCTCAAAAAACTCTCACAATTCCTTTATTTCCAATATCTCTTGTATTTTAATTAGCTGTTTCTGTGTAATAAATCTCCCCCTCCCAATAATGAGTTACAACTGTAATAATCATTTATTACCTCTCATGATTTCTTCTTCTTTTTTTTTTTTTTTTTTTGAGACAGAGTCTCATTATGTCACCCTTGGTAGAGTGCCATGGTGTCACAGCTCACAGCAACCTCAAACTCTTGGGTTTGAGGCAAGCGATTCTCTTGCCTCAGCCTCCCAAGTAGCTGGGACTACAGGCACCCACCACAATGCTCGGCTATTTTGTTGTTGTTGTTTTGGTTGTAGTTGTCATTGTTGTTTGGCAGCCCCAGGCTGGGTTTTAATCTGCCAGCTCCAGTGTATGTAGCTGGCACCCTAGTCACTGAGCTATAGATGCTGAGCCACCTCTCATGATTTCTGTGGGTAAGTACATCACAAGTGGCTCACCTGCATGGTTCTGGCTCAGCTCTCTCATAAGGTTGAAATCACATGTATGGTGAAAACTTTTTCAGGGTTAAAGGATCTACTTCCAAGGTTGCTCACTCACATAGTTGGCAAAAATGCTGGTGAATGGGTTGCTCTGCATGTGGGCCTCTCTGCGGGCTGCTTGAGTGTCACCACTACATGGCAACTGGCTTTCCCCAGAGTGAGGGACCCACTGCAATACCTTTGCTGAAGTTATTCTGTGGGTCACACAGGGCAGCACCAATTCACTGTGGTAGGGTAATTCACAAGGTTGTCCTCTTAGAAGATGACTGCCACACCTCCCTTCCCAGTGACATCTGTAAAGTGACTTCCTTCTGTATCTCTACTTCTTTATCCCATAGCATCAGTGCCTCACAGTCATGTTAGAGGTACTGAAAGAAACATGGTAGTCCCCCCTCACCTGTGGGGCATATATTCTAAGACCCTCAGTGGATGCCTGAAACCGTGCATAGCACCAAACCTTATGCATACTGTGTATTTTCCTGTGCAGGCATATTTTGGAGATATGGTGAGTTGGAGTCCAGATCATTACAACAAAAGATCTCCATAAAGGGAGCCACACACGTTTTAGTTTTCAAGTGCATATAAAAGTTATGCTTATACTATACTGTGGTCTATTAAGTGTGTAATAGCATTATGTCCAAAAAAATGCACATATCTTAATTAAAAAATACATACTTTATTGCTAAAAAATGCCATTAGCAAATTGTGATCTTTCTGCTAGTGGAAAGTCTTGCCTCCTTATCAATGGTTGACTAATCACAGTGATGGCTACTGAAGGTTGAAGGTGGCTGTGGCAGCTTCTTACAATAAGACAGCAGTGAAGTTTGCCATGTCAATTGACTCTTCCTCTCATGAAAGATTTCTCTGTGGCTTTCAATGCTGTTTGATAGCATTTTATCCACAATAAAACTTCTTTCAAAACTGCAAACCCTACTGCTACTTTGTCAACTAAGTTTATGTAATATTTTAAATCCTTGGTTGTCATTTCAACAATAAGCAACTTTACCAGCAGCAGGTTCTATCTCTAGAAACCACTTTCTTTGCTCATCCATAAAAAGAAACTTTTTTATTCAAGTTTGTCATGAGATTGCAGTGATGTAGTCACGTTTCATGTTCCACTCCTATTTTTGCTATTTCCACTGAATCTGCCATTACTTCCTCCACTGAAGTCTTGAACCCCTCAAAATCATTCATGAGGATTGGAATCAACTTCTTCCAGACTACTGGTAATGTTAAGATTTTGACCACTTCTTGTGAATTGTGGATGTTCTTAAAGCTGGCTAGACTGGTGTATTGTTTCCAGAAGGTTTTCAATTTGCTTTGTCCAGATCCATTAGCGGAATCACTATCTTTAGCAGCTATAACATTATAGAAGAAATGTATTTCTTTTTTTTTTTTTTTCTTTTAAACAGAGTCTCACTCTGTGGCCCTGGGTACAGTGCTATGGAATTATAGTTCACAGCAACCTCAAACTCCTGGCCTCAAGTGGTCCTCTTTCTTCAGCCTCCTGAGTAGCTAGGACCACAGGCGGGTGCTACCATGCCTGG